CCCTGTGAAAGGGTCGTTCGACCCCCAAAGGGGTCGCGACCCACAGGTTGAGAACCGCTGCACTAGGGATCCTACCCGTGCACGAATTTCGTGCACTAGGCCTCTAGTATATTACTAAAATGATTAGAAACCCCCCAAAAAGCTACTATGATTTTTGGCCACACAAGAACAAAATCCAAAGTCCTAAATAGCCTACCCCTGTGACCTAGGCCAGTTATCGGCAAACTGCGGCTCGAGAGCCACATGTGGCTCTTTGGCCCCTTGAGTGTGGCTCTTCCACAAAATACTGACTTCTGCGCATGGGCCATGAAGTTTCAATCGCACTGTACGTGCGCGCCCGCACGTGGTATTTTGTGGAAGAGCCACACTTAAGGGGCCAAAGAGCCGCATGTGGTTCACGAGCCCCGGTTTGCCGACCATGGACCGAGGCCATTCGTCCTTTCATCCGCTCTAGTCTTTCTGTTCCTCGGGCACTTGGAGCCAGCTCCTGCCTCAGGACCTTTGCACTGCTGTTCCCTCTGCCAGGACTGCTCTTTCCCCGACCTTTGACATGGCCAACTCCTTCTCATCATCTAGATTTCCCGGAAATGGCACATCCTCAGAGACACTTTCCCTGACTACCTCCTGTAAAGTGGTCCAGGTCCCTCTCTGTCACAGCCTGTTTTAACTCCCTGTGGGGTTCCGACTCCCTCGCTCTCTGGTGGTGCCCGTGCTATGTACTTGTCATCTGTTTCCGCACTCGAACGCAAGTCCCATGACAGCAGGGGCCTGGTCTGGCTTCCCTCCGTGTCTGGGTGCCTGGCACAGGGTAGGGCTTTGGACAGAATTTGTGAGGCGAGATGGAACTCGACGCGTTCTCCCAGCTGACCCGGGAGCCTGCTCCAGCCTCACCTCCAGGGCATCAAGGTTCTCCTTCACCCGGATCTTGGCTGACTTGAGTTTCTCCCGCAGCTGTTTGTAGTACGTGGATGGGACATCCAGGAATTCCATGCCTCTCTCTCTCAAGTGGCGGATCTGTTTCGGAACAGGGTCAAGTTCAGCCTCCTCTGCCATGCTCAGCATCCCTAGCCAGGGGGAGGTGCTGGCCAGGAGGAGGCAGGGTCCCCGCCCTGGCTCCCCCAAACTGCCAGGGTGTGCTGTGACCCCGCCCCCTTCCTCCTCAGGGGGGCCTGTGGGTCCCCTTAGAAGAGCAGCAATCACTAGCTTTTGTGGCATGCTCACCGGTGCCTGTCCCCAGCACTTTCTAAGCACTGCCTCGTTCTGTCCTTACAGTCATCTCCTGAGGCATTTGGAGGATGCTATCCCCACTTCACAGCTGGGGAAACCGAGGCATTGAGAGACTACGTATCTGTTCTCCACGTCATAACCAGAGCGATTTTCCTAAAATACCAGTCACGTCACTGCTCTGCGGTGATGTCACATCTCTGAGTGTAAGTGCTCACCGTCTGCCCCCACCCAACGTGCTAACTGTGGCTCCTGCCCCCCTCTCCTTTGCTCCTTCTGTTCCAGCCACATGATCTTGCTGTTCCTTCAGCCCGCCTCTGCCCTGGCTGTCCCCTCTGCCCGGGGTGCTTTCCCCCAGATATTCATGTGCTTCCTCCAAGCCTGGCCCTTCCAACTCTGCATTCTCCAACATCTCCCTCTCAGGGAGGCCTTTCGTGACCACCCTGTGTAAGCTGTAGTGTCCTGCACCCTCCCTCTCCCACTGCCAGAGCGCTCACTGCCTTCTCACACGTGCGTTTTACTTGTTTCGTTTTCTGCCTCCATCGATGGGTCCCAAGGGCCTAAAACAGCACCCAGCACATAGTCAGCCCTCAGTAAACATCTATTGAGTAAGTGAATGAATGAATGAATGAATGCAGTTGCCAGGGTCACGCAGTGAATTCTTGGTTGGGCTGGGATTGAATGGGATGGGCCAGGCTCTTGACCACCCTGCCACATACAGCCATCGAAGGAATAAGGGAGGCCCAGCCTCCCCCGGGCCTGGAGCCGTAGACTCAGGACATTCAATTTGGCCCCAAGGGCCTAATCCCCCTGGACCTAAAATCCTCATTTTCATGGTGACGCAACGAAAGCCCAGAGAGGGGGGTCGAATCCCCCGGAGAAACACAGCAAGTCCCTGGCAGAGCTGGGAAGAGAGTGCAGGCTTCCTGTTAACTCCGGCCCCTGCTGTCTCTAAAGCCCAGAATGTTGTTCCGAAGGGAGATGAACTCTGCGGATTGAGAATGTGCCTGCACACGAGGGGCAGGGACCAGCCGGGGCTCCGTCAGCCCTCGGGGCCGGTGAAGGGGGGCTGCACTGCCCCCCCCCCTTCCTTCCTGCAGGGATTGGCTGTGGAGCTGAGTCAGAGGTGACTCAGGGCCAGGGATGGGCCTCTCACCGCTGTGATGATGTCTTGGGTCTTGAGAGCGATGTGCTGGACGCCCGCGCCCCCGTTGTAGTCCACATATTCCTGCGGGAGGGCAACAAGGACAGCCCGTCACCGGCCCGTCACCACCGGGGCCCTCACACCTCTTCCCTGCGTCCTTCTGCCCCAGCCCGCCCCACCTGGATCTGGGACTTCTTCCTGCCCGGCGCCGGCTCGTTGATGGGCATCTTGATGGATTCCTCGTAATTGGCCACCACGATGGAGCGCAGGGAGCTGTACTCCGTGTGCACCTGCGTGTCGTCCACGGACCAGAAGCGGTGGAACTGCAGGTTATTCAGGTACCTGCGGGGCCGGGAGGGCACGTTGGCTCTGGGACGGGCCCGGGTCCCCGTCCCCATCTTCCACAAAGGAGGCGCGTCTGTCCATCACACACATCACAGATTTGCCCCTTTGTCCTGACAGTTTCCCTCCTGGCGGGAGTACAGTCTTGTAACCAGATCCTATGGGGAAGCGATGCCTCCGCAGCAAGTGCTTTGAGAAGGGGCCTTGCTCCTCATTTGCACAAGGGCGCTGCCTGGGTGGGGGCAGTCTTCCTCCCGCCTCCACCTGTGGGTCACTTGGGGCCTTAAATCCTCTGGTCTCCATGGGAACTGTTTACAGGGGACAAGCCTCACGCGAACTTCCTACCACCTGGTGCTGGTGTCCTGGGGGCAAGGACACGGGGGCGTGGTCTTTGCGGGGAGGGCCTGGGCCAGGGACTCACCAGTCCGAGGCGGACAGCATCTCCTGATCGGGCTGGTTCCCCACGATGTGGTCGATGACCTCGAGGTTGCTCTGGGGCCTGGGAGAGGGATCGGTTAAGGGATGAGAAAGTCACTCCCTAAGTCTGCTCTCCTTCCCGCTGGCTCCTCAGCGACTATAACAGCACCCTGTTGCGTGGCACCTGCTGCAGGCATCTTATTTGTGTCGCTCACACACCCTCACTAGCCCCATTTTCCAGGTGAAGAAACTGAGGTGCAGAGAAATACAGGAGCTGGCCAGTGTTTTGCAGCTGTGAAGTGACAGCTGGGATTCGAACCCAGGCAGCCTGGGTCCGGAGCCTATGGTCTTAGCCTCTGTGCTGCCTCTCCAAGCCGCCCGTGGGGACCCTCAGGAGCTCCCCAGCGGGCTCACAACGCTCCACCCCTGCTTTGGAGAGTGCCTGGTCTCTGTTTGTCGTGGGCTCGAATCCAGGCAGGAAGAAGCCGGCGTAGTTCATCTTCTCCACCAGGGTGTGTGTCGTGTCCCCATACTACGGGCGGAAAACAGGCTGGCTGGGCCCCTGAGCTCCCTTCCCCGCTGAGGCCAGGACATGGCACCGACACAGCCCGGGTCCCAGCCTGACGGGTCCTAACCTGCCGTGTGATCTTGGGCAAGTCACTTCCCCTTTCTGAAAGGACCTGCAGTCTGGCATTTGGGAATTTCTTTGACTCTGTGTGTCCCACAGGACCAGAGGTTCTGCGAGGGCGGGGACATTTTCTTGTTCAACGCTATGTCGTCAGCACCTAGGTCAGTGCCTGGTGCCATAAACAGATGGGACTAAGAAAGACGAGGGCGTTGGGTCAGACCACAGCGAAGGCGCTTTCGATGGGAACCATCTAAGGTGTATTTAACCTTGAGAAGTGGGGCTGCGGTTGTCTCTGTGTGACGATAACACGGGTGGGAAACACCTTGGTGATCCTTGCTTGAGTGCCTGTGCCAGCCACCGTTGTGCTAAGGGCTGTACACGCGTGATCTCATTTGACCTTGACCGTAGGAGGGTTACAGGTGAAGAAACTGAGGCATACAAAGGTTAAGTAGTGCATCTCAGATCACACAGAGGGTCCAGCCCCAGTCCTTGCTCACTTAAATGAGGTCACAGAGAGGTGAAGTGATTTGCCCAAAGTCACAGCTAGCACAGGGGGCGGCTTCCCCAGACCCCGCCTGACGCCTCCATCCCCAGGACGTCACCCCCACTGGGGAAGAAGGGAAGTGTGTGGGGGATCATGGGGGGACGAGGGGTGGCAGGTGCGCTCATCAGCCTCTGCACCCTGGGCAGGCATTACAGGTGATCAGACTCCGGGGAGAAGGCTGTGCTCTGAAACGCGGGGGCATGAGGAGTCTGGGCTGGGCCGGGGGATCCCCGCATCTTAGTGGGTGCGGGTGGCAGGAGGGTGGGGGCACCGAAGTTTACTCACCGTCTGCAGCACAGCAAACTTCACCTTCCCAAACTTATCTTGCTCCACCCAGGGCTCCCGAATGATTTTGGCGCCCCGTTGCCGGGCTTTCTGCAGGGGAGATGGGCGGGGGGTGGGGGTGGGGCGGTGAGGCCGAACCCTCTGGGAGCCCTTGCAGGCTGCTCCTGCTGGATCACCTCTGCGGGGTCCAGCCCCGGCAAGAACCCTGGGCAGCTTCTGCACTCGGCCCTGGTGCCCATGCCTCATGCCCATTTGGCAGATTGGGAAACGGAGGCCCAGGCCCAGAGTTGGTTCTATGGGAAACAAACCCAGTTGGGGGTAGGGGTCTGTCTGCCTCTCCTCCCTCACTCTGGGGCCCTTTCCCCTCTCCAGTCCTCCACTTCCCCATCTGTAAAAAGGGGGTTCCATAAGAAGAATCTGAGCTGGCGTTAACTGAGCACCGAGGATGTCTCTGACCCCTGCCAAGTGCCTTACACACATAATTCATGTATGTATGTAGCAAACCCACCTACTGCGTGTTTGTGCTTGTCACATGTGAGGCCTGCTGTAGGTATTAACCTTTTTCTTTCTTTTTTTAAAAAATATATTTTATTGATTTTTTACAGAGAGGAAGGGAGAGGGATAGAGAGTTAGAAACATCAATGAGAGAGAAACATCGATCAGCTGCTTCCTGCACACCTCCTACTGGGGATGTGCCCGCAACCAAGGTACATGCCCTTGGCTGGAATCGAACCTGGGACCTTTCAGTCCGCAGGCCGATGCTCTATCCACTGAGCCAAACCGGTCAGGGCGGTATTAACCTCTTTCATCCTCACAGTGACATTATACGAAATCGAGGCACAGAGAAGTTAAGCCACTTGCCCGAGGTCACACAGCAAGTAAGATTCAGGCCCAGGCAGTCTGCCTCTGGGGCCTGGGATCTGAACCTCTGAACTGCCTCTCGAGTGAAGGGTTTGGTCTAGAGTCGTGCTCAAGAAATGGCCACTGGGGCCGGCTGGTGTGGCTCGGTGGTTGAGTATCGACCTATGAGCCAGGAGGTCACGGTTCGATTCCCGGTCAGGGCATGTGCCTGGGTTGCGGGCTCGATCCTCAGTGTGGGGCGTGCAGAAGGCAGCCGATCAATGATTCTCTCTCATCATTGATGTTTCTATCTCTCCCTCCCTCTCCCTTCCTCTCTGAAATCAATTCCAAAAAGAAAGAAAAGAAATGGTCACTGTGATCTCATTGCCTCTGTGAGAGCCCGGTGAGGTGGGGGCTGTGGTTCTCCTCATTTTATAGTTGTGGAAGCTGAGGCTCAGAGA